GTTGGTTGGATATATGAAGTGTTGACTTCATGACTGGTTTCTCTGATGAGGGCTTTCCTCTTGTTGCCTGAATGTCCTCCGCTTGGGCCACCGAAAATGGTGTTAATCACCACTGGCCTCTTTCCGTCCGTTTCTCTCCTCTTAGACGTAGGAGACTTGTCCTGATCATCACGATCTGATCGGTTGAACTTCCTTTTTCCTTGAGAAGAGCATGAGTCCTTCTTTCCTACGTATTTTTTCAGATGACCTCGCCTGATTAGATTCTCAATCCGGTCTCTCAAGTTATAGCACTACGAAGTATCATGTCCATGGTCCCTGTGAAACATACAATATTTGTTTTACTTTTTTTGTCCGAAACTCGACTTCATCTTATTTGGTTTCTCCAACATTGTATGCAGATCACTATTTTCAATATTGGCCAAAATTTATGAGAGCGGAACATTGAGAGGGGTGTAACGGTCGAATTCCCTTAAGCGGCGATCGTGAACTCGTACCGTCCGCTCTTGTCGCGATCGGTTATCGTGAGCTGACTTTCTTGGTTCGTGGTCACGGCTTGAATAGCCATTTTTCGACTGTGAGCTCTGCGCCCGAGCTTGTGCGTGCCTCGATATTACTATTTGATGCTGGACATGTTTTGCTCGGAGCACATCCTCTGCATGCATATATTGACGTGCTCGCTGAATTGCTTCACTAGGAGTCTGAGTTGGCTGAATGGCGAAGGAATGAACTAGGTCTGGAGTATTTATAGCCGACGTGAATGTCATTCTGGCTGCGTGTTGCATCCACACAACTATGTCGACAACACGTGCAAATATACACGAATAGTCAGTTGTAGTACGTAATGAGATCATATCCACAGGACTTTTGGTTTATATTTTAACGATAAAAGCATATACCAACAAATAAAAATGCAAAGAGTTGAGTATGAATATTATCTAGAAGAATTAAAATAAAGGAATAACAGGACGACAGAACGACAGAACGTTGCAAGAGACAATAGTTTTAAGGTTATCGACACAAGGAAGTAGCAGCACAGAAAGCGATAATGGGGGATTAAAAGATATGAAGATGGCGGGGGAGATTCAACATACTTTAAAACGTTATTAACCTATCCTTTAGCGTAGCTAACATTTATTAGTGTCCAGCTCGACTCAGTTCCCTTTCGAGACACCCCAAACATGAGTAAATACAACTTCCGTTGCTAAATACCCAAGCAATAAACCCAAGCTATAGACATGATTAGGGAACCCCATTCTTGAGTATCCCTATAGTTATAGAAAAGCGCTAATCACAAGCAAAACAAGTCAGCACCCACAAGCCCTTCCGGGTCAATATAGAAGCTAGCATAAATGAAACAGCGGTCAACAGTAACGCGAAGATTTAAGAAATAAATTCAGATTTGCTTAAAAATAAATGTAGCAGCTAGAGATTCGGTCTCAAGTAAATTACAGCGTGTGAACCGCCCCCAAAATGGGGTTTAACTCATAATGGGTGAAGAAAACAAAATGGAAGAAGAAGAAATACAACCCATAGTAGAAAAATGGTTAAATGACAGAGAAGAAAAAGTAGTCAGCTCGTTCCAGCAGGCGAACTTCCCCTTTATGGCGTCAGCTCTTTTTCCGAAAATGGGTGTATTCCGTTCCTTGGTCTTTTCAGCTCTCAATTTTTGTCTTCCTTGGGATCCGCGTGTCTGTCGGCTAGGGCAACATTCCCTTTAAATATCAGGTCCCATTTTTAGGGCACCCGACTGGGGATTGTACGGACATAAGTGAATCCCATGTTTTTGAATTAACTGTACGGACACTCATGCTCTGGCATCACTATGCTCCAGCTTTTATATGCTCTGACTTGAAAATGCTTTGACTTTTCTTCTCTGGTTCAGCACTTCCTTCTCTTCTTAGCTCTTCTTTAAAAACCTGTGGAAATGAACCACAAATATGAGAGTTTATGTTGTTTTTGGCCAAAGTTCTCAAGACTAAGGATATTTAGCTAAGAATTTGCAATTAAACACTATTCATGCTAGTTACAACCTAAAACCGACACACTTTGACATTTTAATGCACATTTTCACCCAAATAATCACCAGAATAACTCTCTTTTAGAGAGATCACACCCCCAAACTTACAATGTTGCTTGTCCCCAAGCAAGAACATGCATTTTAGCTCAGAAAACAAAAGAAGAATGTTAGAAACCTGCACTTCAAACATTCAGCCCTATGCCTCAAACCTTTACTTTGATCAGTAATGCTAGAACTTACATACTCTACTATAGTACTTCAGCTGAAGCAAAGAAATGAAAGCAGGCTAAATTTGTTCACACTCTGGAAGACGCTATTTTCTGCCCAACTCTAGCTTCCTTCTACTTCCTAACGTCAAGCTTAACTTCTCCTAGGGAATCCTTTCTCAAGCCCCTTTCACTAGCCTAAACCTTTAAACTTTGCACTACCAACTTGGGCTTCTTAACCATAGGCTACTAGCCTTTCCTAATTTTGCAGTCTCTTAATGCTCTGGATGCGGGCTGCTCGCCCCTCCTTTATTGATGATTTTTTAAGGGGCTGAATTATAGGATTAGAAAGATTTATGGTTCTGTACAATTGCTGATAGAGATATAGGAACTAAAGATTCACTCCCCCAAACTTAAGAGGTTGCATTGTCCTCAATGCGACGAAGGACATCTAGAATGTAAAGCTCTAGCATACCCCTAAACTTAAAGCGAAAGTACAATGATAAATACAAGGATGTTCGCTATCACGGTATAGACATGAGTGTGTAGGGTTAATGCTATCATCTAAGGGGATCTAAAAGAAGAGGCCCAGGCTAGCTATACAAAGATAAGGGTTGGCTTTGGATAGAGAGGCCATTGAAATTCCCGCCTAAGGTAAGCGCTACTTGGGGTTAGTACTACGAGAGGGATGTTAGGGCATAGGTAGGCAAACATGAACCAGAAGATGAACAAAAGAAAGCTACCGCTCATCAAAATGCTCAAGCATCAATAGAAAAACTGCGCACTAGCAGGCTCTGGCATCAAGACTCTACATACGGGGCAAGGCAAAAGACAGATGTTGAGAACACTAGATTTGCTAACTTCTTACTTTCATTTAGTTTCTGTGGGGGAGGGGTCATAATCTTACTGACAAAATAAAAGACAACAACTAGAATTAAAATTAAACTACTAATCATTAAAAACAAAGACAAGAATTTAAATGCAAAAATTGAAACCTAACTAAAATGTGTAAATAACAGGAGGGCGTTTAGTTTTGGTCAAGACAAAAGGACAGGGACCTCCTTTTATGGGTCAAACGAAACTTTCTTCTTCACTATCTTCTTCCTCTGAAGAGTCGCCCATAGGCTGATCTTCCTCTTCAGAGCTTCCTGACTGCTCCAGCAATTATTTTAGACGGGCCGGCACACGGATGGAAGGGGCTGCTGCTTTGAAATGCTCCAGCGTTGCCAGGATAGTCGCATATCTTTTCTTAGCCTTTTCAGCGAATGCGAACTGCGCTTCCTCCATTCGTGAGAACTACTTTTGCATTTTTGCGAGTTGGGCCATCATTTTATTGATGGTCACATTCTGCACAGCTCCGCGGCGAGTGGGGTCCTTGTTCATCAGCCTTTCCATCGTATTCCTATCTATCACCAACTTGTCCTTGAGGGGCTATTCGCCATCCAAGATTGGCACATCTCTGCGAAGGCAGAGTTTGGTGATAAGGCTTGGGAAAAACAGACGGCCTATTTTCTTTGTTGCGCACTGCATGATCTCCCGGTGGATGAGTTGTCCGACGTCTATGGAACGACCTTCCAAAATGCAGGCCAACAGAAAGGCTTTGTCGTTCGTAACAGATGAATCATGCGTGGTAGGCATGACCCGACTCTTAACGAAGTAGAGCCAAACGTTGGCTTCCCCCGTAAGTTGGCCAAATTTCAGCGAGCGTGCACCCTTGTTCGTCATTTGCCACGTAGCACCCTCAATGCCTACCAGATGTAGGGCACTTTCAAGCTCCCGCATTGAAGGCTGCTGGATCATCAAGTTGAACTCAGCCTCTGGATTGTTGGGCAGCTTCAGTAGCTTGTTGATCCTCTCCGGCGTCCAGTCGATTTCCACCTCCCGTACCGTGGTGTGTCCCATTCTGTCAGGGTCAAAGTTGGTGTAGAATTCCCTCACGAGCTTCGGCAAAACAGGCATAGGGGGAGCACAGAAATGCTCCCACTTTAAACGCGCGGCTCCCTCCTTCACAAACAGGAGCATCTCCACCTCAAAAAACCATTTCTCCAGGTACAAGTCCCTTGC